CCATTTCCTATCTCTAAATAAAAACCAAAATAAATCATTAAAAAAATAAAACAGTCTTAACCTGTTTACTTTTGTATCAAATAAAAAGAACCAATATATAAGAGCAAAGTATGGATCAAATTAGCCAGAAAATTTGACGGCCAAAAATGTGCGGAAATCAAACGCTAAAAATTTCTCCTAAAAAATTAAATTATGGATGGATTAATTCAAGTGATAAGTAAATTGATATCGCTTAAACAAGTCTCGAGTTTGAATTTTCTTTTGTATAACTAAGAGACTCAATAAAAGCATATATGTGACGTGGGTTGGTCTGGACGAAACCTTAAAAACTAAAAAGTGATAAAAAAAATCCCCTAAAAATTAACAAAGGAAAAATGGCTTAAAGACAAATTTAATTCACCTTGGTTTTTGAACAGCTCACAAACATGGTACAGATTCGATACACTTTGTACATTTGCTATATGGAGGTAAACTCGAATCTGGGTACGAAAATTTTAGGCCATTGTTATTTATCGCTAAAGCCAAAGCCTAAATGTTGATGCTTTCCGTAGGTTATACTTATTACATGGTTCCAACTATACATGTTGGATTTTGTAAATTTTTTATAAATTTGTATTTGTTTGATTGAGTCGTAATTCAATTAGTATAATTGTTATTATAACATGCGACATTGCATGAATTTAAACTTATGTAAATATATATTATTCTCTTATTTATCGATGAGACGAGGTCTAAATAATATGGGTATTATATTAAAAAAAACAATAACATTCGTATTCAAGTTTTATTATCAATATTATTATAAATATTTTTATTTTAAATTAGTTTTTTTTTAAATATATTCAATCTAGTGGTGCTCATAGGTCAGGTCAATGTTCGATTATAAGGTAATATATGTTCATAATCTTTATTAATCATTGACAATACACACACCTTAAAGATGTCGCTACTCGAATCCAGATCGCTACTAAGTCCACTGATAGGTTTAAAATAATAAAATAACCTAAATTTATATCAATGTCCATGTTTTATAATTCTTTTTAAATGATATATATTAATTATTAAAATTACACACGGACAAGATAATATACTTGATTCATGAATAAATCTAATCGAAACTATTATATATTTTAGATATTTTTCTTGTGTTTTTTTGATAATATATTTTCACCACTGAAATTTTACAAGTTCAACCCTTAACACAGAATCATGAATTCATCCTAATTACGTTTAATTCATAATATCAAGCTCAATCAATTAATAAGTTTATAACATTATCTATTTTGAAGAGGACACAAGTCATTTTCAAAGTACGAAGGGGTTCCATAACAAGTAGGCTATGGAAAGAAAAAGTGAGGACGTATGTTGTATTTCCCATTTGAATGATTGAGATTAATATCAAGATCTGAGTGCGTGATATGATGATAATAATATTTAATATATAAAACATGTGGTCGTCACTATGTGATTATTGAAACGAATGACAATATGGTGTTGTATATTAAAATGTTGTTATCGATCATTTAAGCACACTCAAATCTATTATCGTTTCACGGATCTTTTAGTTGTAATTCTTATATGTATTATATGATAGTGGATTATATTTGAAATTTTTAACACTTTTAATATTTTACATTTTAAATTAGTTTAAAAAATGATGTTGAGTTTCCATAATTAATAATTCATTTTTATCATGATCTCTCAATATTTTTTTATCTAATTTTTTAAATATTAGAGTTATATGGTTTAAATTATTTTGATCTGATCCAAGATGATTAGGAAGAAACTCACTAGAAATAAAGGTTAAAACAGGAATATATGGGGACGGACAAAGTAATTCAATCCTTGTAAAAGTTTACTTTTTCCTTAAGAAAATTAGAAACTCAGTTTAAATAAATTATTTTATATGCAAGTTTCCTTTATAAATAAGAAATTTATCTCGATAATAGATACTATTAATTAGAGTTTAGATGTAAGTTGATGAAACCCTAAATCATATTTAAATGAAAATTTAATTCTACTTTTTTTATATAGTAAATCTTCTCCTCTTCTACCCAATGCTTTTTTTATTCTTAAAAGAGTTTTTCATGTTAAATTTTAATATTCTTTATTTTATAATTATTTTACATTCGTTATTATCATGCTTATAAATAGTATATTAAAATTTTTCTCCTTTTACTTTTCTTATAAAAGTATTATTTCTATAAACTATAAAATTAAATGTTAAATTTTAATTCAATGAGTATTGAATTTGAACTTAAAAATTATTTGTTCTTATTGAAAATTATGTGTTGGATTACGTTCTTTTGTTTAAATTTAACCGTAAAAATGTAATAGTTATAAATAATGTCACATTTTATTATAATATATATAAGTAATTTATTAAAGGAAAACTATAAACAATTTGTATTTTTAACATTTATTGTTTAAACCTTATACCCCAAATATCATAGTTGCAGCTTGCAAGAGAAGCTAGCGTAGAATTTTATGTGCCAACATATGGAGTTTACCGAATCGCAACCCATGAACAAGTTTGAACATTTTTCTCCCAATAAACCAGTGATAGTAATAAATGTTTTTTATTAATCTAAGGGGATTTCAAGATAATATGTGTTTTAGTGATCATTAACTATTTGATAATGAAAGGTCAATTACTCTTGTAGACTTTTGGTGCTCGAACTTTAGACCACTATGAATAACAACATTCTTAAAATCACTGAGGTAGCTTGGTTTGTCTAATCGTAACAAAAAAAATATTAAGTCCAAATAACTAGATTAGCAATTATGATCAAATCGCATATAGCAAAGCTTGAGTTCAACAATATGATAAAAAAATTACAATGTAACACAGTTTATCATGCGATTATAACATATTAAGTGGTTTAAGTGATAAAAGAGAATGTTGTTCTTTTAAAAAATTTAAGTTTGAACAACTACGTCTACAGTGTGTGTATAGTACAAATAACTAAGAAAAATTATAAAATGAAATCATATTGTAAAGTGTCCAATAATAACAAAACTGATAGAAAAAATAATAAAATCAATAACGTTTACAGATATGTTAACAAAACCAATAAAACGTCAAGTAATAACACAACCGGTATAAATAATAATGTTTATAATATTTTTTTTATTAATTTTATTAAAAAAATAATAACAAAACAAAAACATATTTCTTAAACGTATATTAAACTTTCTCATATTAAATACTATCCCACAGTAAACTTTCTCGACATCTACCTTCTATGCAAATGCACTCTACGTGCAATTAACAGCGATCATGTGTTGACATGCGTAATATCCTAGCTTAGCCAATCACCTCCAAGACGGCTAGTCAAGGTTGATGACGCGACAATCCTGAAACTATCAGTCGGCACCGTCAGACTATCTCCACCATGATTGTTATTGTGGGAGGAGTGTTTTTGGAATAGCCTAAAGATTTATGGAGAGAACTAGAAAGAGTCATTCTTTGAATTAGGAGGAAAGATTAGAGATAAATTACATATTTAATTATCATTTTGATTATTTAAATATTTTTTTAAATTCATCTTTAATATTATATTTGGTTTCAATTTTGGTCACCCATAGTTAAAAAATTAATAATGATATTGATGTGTCATCATAAATTAATGTCATTTCATCATTAAAAAAATGTCATATAATCAATTATGTTAATTTTTTAACAGTAGATTATCAAAATAAAATTAAAACGTAAATTTAGTAATGATTTTAAAAAATTAATTGAGTGACTAAAACAAAATAAAAATGATATTTGAGTGACTAAATACGTAATACTTGGATATTGGACCAAGGGTATCGATACCCTTGTTCAAATTTTATTAAATTTATTATTTGATTTTTAGTGATTATTATAACTATTTGATGTCGTTAATATTTTAAATCATTTATAATATGATTTTTAACAACTTGATTAAAGTTTTCATAACCAAGTTAAATTCACTCAGATACAATCTTGTTTTTTTTTTTTGCAATCATTCAGATACAATCTTATTATAATATCAAAATGTGACATTTTATGTTTGACCGAACGCCTAGAGTACATAGAGATATTATGCATTTGTTGTCAAGGGTTGCAATACCCTTGACCTTTTAGGTCGGGATAGTTTACAGGAATAAACAAATATATCATTTGGTAAACTATTCGTCTAATGTTTATTTATGTATGTTTGTTAAATTAAATAAATGAGTATGAATAAAAAATGTATGTTTATTTAATAAACGAACAAACACAAACAGATGTGTGTATATGTTCACAAACAAGCTCATTTATGAGCTCGTTTATCGACTCCTCATGAACAAACTTGTTTACCCAGTTCTCTTTTTTTTTTTACATTTTAAATATTGTTAAAGGTATGGACTAAATTAAACACATGGTAAAAGTTAAAAATTAAACTATGAATTTTAAGGAGTTTAAATACTAGTGTGTAAATTTAACTGAACATATAAACTAACAGTAAATGAATACTAAACAAGCACTAAATGAACTCTAAACGAACACTAAACAAGCACTAAACGAACACTGAATGAACGCTAAAAGAATATGTTCGTGAACATATAAACAAACACGTTAACGAATACTAAACGAATATGTTGACAAACAATAAATAAATGATCACAAACACAATATTAAAAATTTAAACAAACACAAATCGAATATAAAAACATTTAAAAATAAATAAATAAACATGAAGATAATCTTGTTCGTTAAAAAATGAATTCATTTACACCCTAGGCTCATTCACTTGAAATTGGAGACAAATCGTTTCTTCGATGGTGAGTCCATTTCCTTCCAGCTGTTGCCGGATCACTATGGTAGGAGAACCATTTTTCCCATTAAATAAATCACAGAGATACCGTTAGGAAGCTATTAAAAAAAGGGAGAGGTCGGTCGAGTTCGTTTGTTATATTATGTGGGGATTAGTTATAAACGCCACGTTTTAACTTCAACTTTCCATTCCATTCCATTCAATTTCCTCTCCTTACCTTTCCATTGCTAAAAATCCCCTCGATTCTCCCTCGCTTTCCTCAAACCAAATCTCTCCCTTTTCTCTCTGTTTTACTCTCTCATGTCTTACAAAGCAAAAACCTTCACTTTCTTCATGTTTTGTTCATAAACTTGTTCAAAAAGTTGCATGTTTTTAACTGTGAATTTTCTCTTCTTTTTTTTAGCATTCTTCTGTGTTAAAGGAAACCCAGGATCATAAATTTGCAATGGCTGACTCACCAAAATCGGAAACTGGGTCAAGCACCTTGACCAACATCTCTTCTTCTTTGTTTCCGCCTTCATTATCATCTTATGATGGTAAAAGGAGAACGGGTACTGACTCGGTACCCGATTCCCAGAGTGAAAAGCGTCCGAGGGATAGTAGCACCAAGCACCCGGTATATCGGGGGGTCCGAATGCGGGCGTGGGGCAAATGGGTGTCCGAAATCCGTGAGCCCCGGAAGAAGAGCCGGATCTGGTTAGGCACTTTCTCGACTCCCGAGATGGCGGCACGTGCACACGACGTCGCGGCGTTGAGCATCAAAGGCAATTCGGCGATCCTAAACTTCCCTGAACTCGCCGAGTCGTTACCGCGACCGGCTTCCAACTCCCCCCGCGACGTCCAAGCAGCTGCCGTTAAAGCTGCCTCAATGGAGTTGTTAAGCAATATTACATCATCGTCGTCTATAATATCGTCGGCTTCGACATCGACATCGTCATTGAACACGGATAACGTGTCGACACCGGAGGAGCTGAGTCAGATAGTGGAACTACCGAGTTTAGGGACGAGTTACGAATCAGTGGAGATAGGGACTGATTTTGTGTACCCGATTGACGGATGGCTACTGAATCCCAATAGCATGCCTTGGTATTACGAAGAAAATAATGGGTATTTTTGGGATGATATTTCTATGCAAACTCTAATCACAAATGTGTTTGGTCCTTTACCATGGAATCATTAATGGATAATCTTAGAAATTAGTGTGTTTTTATCAAATTGTCCTTTTTACAAATTTTTAATAGTTTAATTATTATAAAATAATATTTGTTTAAAATAATTTATAATAACTATAGATAAAATATTATTTACAGACACAACTACTTCAATTCATATTTTTTAAATACTTTTTTTATCATTAAAATAAGTCAATGGGTTATTTTACATTTAATTTACATTCGAAAAGGAAAATACCTTGCTTGGCTACCAAGAATTATGCTATAGATTTGGTGTTTGGTCCATATGGCAAATTTTACGTCTTTGAGCTTTTTGGTATGCATTTGTTTTGCTTGATTGGTCATAGAAAACAAAATTAGTAAGGCAAAAAGAATTTACAAAGCTTGTAGAAGAATTTATCCTTTTTTTCTTTTTCATTTTTTGAATAAAATAAAGGAAAAGGTCAAAGACAGTGGTTTATTTTTTAAAATATTTATATCTATATATAATTGATACACTTTTTAATTTCATTTTTTAGAAATTTAATGATTCATTTTATCTCATGTTGGAGCAATTAAAGCTGATATGTTTTCGTATTTGGAGTCTTTTCGGTTTTCAAGACTTTAATCCAATTATTAAAAGGCTGAGGTTAGTGGCTTTAGTTTCGTTTTGGCCATCTAACTTTTTTTTTAAATCATTACTAACGTTACGTTTTAGTTTTATTTTGGTCACCCATCGTTAAAATATTAACAATGATGTTGATGTGTCACCATAAGATAATATCATATCATTATTGAAAGAAAAATAAAAAAATATTACGTCAATAATTTTATTAATTTTTAATGGCTGGTGACAAAAATAAAACAAAAATGTAACATTAGTGATGATTTTGAAAAAAAATCGTTAGATGACCAAAACGGAATCAAGGTAATAATTGGGTGATTAAATACATTGTTTATCCTTTCTTTTATTTACTGACTAACTGAGATTATCATTAATGAATGTATACCCTGATTTCCCTGAACAAAATCCTTAATTATCATGCCCACTGTTTTTTGATCAAAATCTTATTGCAGTCATGTAATACCGAACTGCCATTAATTAAGTAAACTGATAAAATTAATGTATCTATTGTCGATAATCACTGTTCAGATTAACTGGATGAATAAGGCAAATTAATTGTACCTACTATTAATGTCGAATATTTTGTAATAAAATAAAGATGCAGAGAAATTAGGGTTTTTGATTTTCCCTAGCAATAACTCATGCTTGAATTCTTACTTAGATCGTTGACCTTTGGTTTATAAAATGAATAATTTGGGAATTGCAATTAATTTCAAGTATTTAATTAGTTTTATTATTTTTATCTGCATATTCAAACACAGAAAACAAAATGATTGTTAATATATAAAGTATTGATAATTTTTTAATAGTACGTGATGATTATACTGTATTATCTGTTTAGAATTTTTTATATCTTATAAATACAATTACTCGAATCTAGAATATTTAAAAAAATAATTTTCCATTTTATCATTAAAACTACTTAATGAGTTTAAATACTAGTAAATTTTAACTCCAAATATCAATTATTCAATTTTAATAATAGTTAATTTTGAATCATATAAATGAGTAAAAGAGTATTTTGGGGCACATATTTCGACATTTCATTTAATGAAGTTAGTGGTTTTGGATTAGTAATATAAAATCAAAATTATTTTTTTGTGGGGTTTTTTTGTTCTTAATTATTATATTGCTTTTTCTCTTTTCTCAAATCACGAAACAGGTTTTGGGATGCATTACAAGACAAAATATGAAAACTATCTCTCTTTTAATTATCATCTTTCATTCTTAATTATTGTCTTTTAAAGAGATTGTATGTTGTCTGGTTTGGAAAAGTCTCAAATCGTTAGGTGAAGTGGGATTATTGACACTTGAAAATAAGCCATCATCCTTTCCAGCTTTGTATTAGAAATCAAAGTAAAACAAATATTACCAAGTGATTTAAAATCTTAATTCAATTAACTCGTACCATTTCTTTTAAAAGAGAAGAAAAATATAAAATTTAAATTTTATTGATGAAAAAATGAAATTGTAACGGTTGTAAGTGGTTTGTCCATTCTAATTTAGATAGAGAGCCCGGGAAACGCTCACGTGTGGCGTCTTGGTATACGGTTAAAATAAAGTGTTATCGGTATTATTATTATTTTAAATAATAAAACAATAAAAAACGATCGAAAACATCATTATTTTGACCGGTTATAATTACCTATATAGGTAAACATGGTAAAAAAAATGGGTCAAAAAAAGATGTTTTAAGTAGCGTTTTATCGAAAACATCATTTTTTGACCAAATTTTTTTACTGCATTTACCTATGTAGGTAATTATAATCGGTCAAAATAATGATATTTTCGATCATTTTTTTACCGATTTTATTATTTAAAATAATAACAAAATTCGTAACGCCTTATTTTTATCGTATACTAAGGCGTCGCACCACATAATTGCCCAGAGAATCCACCAGATGGTTTTGTGAGGAGAATAGAGAGAGGCGTGCTAAGAATATTATGAACAGTAAAAAGCAAAGAGAGAGTCTGAGAGAAGGAACATATCCATTCCTTCAATCATTTACCGTGACTTATATATTGATATTTAGTGTTTTTATTAGGGTTAGAATCATGATTGTTATTATGATTGTTATTTGTAAGTTCACATATTGAATAGACTTTGTCATCATATATTAATTTTGGTGATATGAGATTGATATCGATCAGATTAAGGGATAACAATTGATAAAAGGATATGAATATTTAGAGGCTCCTATAAGGAGGGATAGATCGAGGGGTAGGTGAGGGTAATTGTCCTCCTGAAAAATTAAAATTATCATATATTTTAGATTTTTTATATGTATTTTCTATTGAAAATGTTTTTTTCCTATAATTTTATAAGTCCATATCTTCTTAAAATTTAAAAAATTTATCTCCTAACATAAAATTTTAAGCTCATCCCTACTTGAGAACTCTAGAGATTATAAAACTCTGAAGACTTTGATAACCAAAAAATAGGCTGTGGAAGTATTATTTGTGAAAGAGATTAAAAAAGGTAGAAACAATTTCAATTTATATAATGATCTCTTTTATTTGATTTCATTAAAAATAACTAGCAATGCTAATATATTTCAAAACAATTAATTTACTAACAAACAAATAACGATAGTATATCCTTTAATTGATAGTTATAGATAATTCATTTATCGGACTCTTCATGGATATTATTATCATTTAATTTAATGAAATTTGATGATGAAAATTTTAAAATATTTGTATATTAATTTTCATATGTCGACTAAATTTTCATTTTGTTACTATTATTATTGTAAAAATTGTGTTCTAAAAAATCAATGAGCGGTATATATATATATATATATATATATTGCAGTTATCTTTATACAATTTGTTAGTTGATTAATTCAGATTTGATAATTATACAAATTTATTATGACGACGATTCTTTAAATTTATTCTACTCGCGACACTCCAATTAGGATTTAAATGTTGTTTAAAATATTTAATGTTCTATTTTTTAATAGTCTAAGGTTATTACAATATATTATTTGTTCAGAATTTTCTTAACCAATTGACGACGCACACATTTTACATACATAATTACTCGAACCCAAAACTTCTAAGAAGAATGACATTCTCTTAACTATTGAAGTCACTTAATGGATTCTTAATATTCTAAAATAATACTAACTACTATGGGTAGTAGTTTATAATTTCTAATTAAATAAGAAGATTGTCAATACTTTAGGGGATGCTACAAAGTATTGGAGTTTTGGATTAAGTTTAAAACTAGGTAGCTGATAGTCCATTTCAATGTGTATATATAATATTCTCTAGCCAAGAAGTAGCACGGAATTTTATAGATTTAGACCCATTAGCCTAACAAAGTATTCGTTCCAAACCAAGGAAAAACGAAAGTATGCATATGTGGTTCACCAAGAGTAAAGGGACATAAAAACTACTGTATGCCTTCAATTTAGTCACTTCGATTGAGCACATTGGATACTAAATTTATGGTCACACTTGTACCTTTGAATTATTGCTTTCATCTTAATTCTTTGAGAAGTAGAGATGCGATGTGATGTGAGAATATATACGGGTATATTTGTTTTCGAATAATATAAGGGGATTATAATAATAATATATGTTTAGAAATTTTTTAATTAATTGACAATACACAAATCATGCATATGCATCTGCTCGAACCCAATAACTCTAGGAAGAACAACATTCTATTTTACCACTAAGATCACTTGGTAGGTTTTTATGTGTATATTTTAATCCTATAAATTAAAGTTTTTAAAAGTTTATATTTTAATCATTAAATAAAGTTTATACGATGACATTAACCATAATACATCATAAAATTAAATTAAAATTCCAAACATAGAATTTAAATTAAATCGGTATTTGAATTTAGGACGAAATATAATACGGGTGAAGTATCATTTTCTTTCCTAAGTAGAAAGAATTGTGTCTTGAAGCAAAATTGGATGCAAAAATTATTCAATTAGGGAACACTATCATGGTTAAAATAATGTTTATTGATCAGTATTCTTACACATTTGTTAATAAAACACATTTAGTATATTTACTAAAAAAAATATTTGAGGGAGATTTTTTTTTAAAAGTTCTTATTTCGATCACTATAAAATTTTCGATTTAATTATTATCAGGGATTAATGTTATTAAAGACAAGTGCATTAATACTTTAATAGTATTTAAATGAGTTTCTTTTTGATTGTTTTGATCAATGAATTATTAAATTTACTAAAAGATTGTATTTTAATCACTTCATTATTACATATATTTAATGAGATAACGTAGTACATTGTGGTTAATATCGTATTCGTCTCCTGAATTATAATTTTTTTTTTGTAAAAGGATACTTTGTATTATAAAAATAACAAAATAACCACCCTAAAAACCTCATTAAAAAACTTTCATGATCCTATTCGGAAGAAA